GGAAGGGAAGGGAAGGGAGGAAAGGAGGGAAGGAAGGAAGGAAGGAAAGTGAAGGAAGGAAGGAAGGGAGGGAGGAGGGAAGGGAGGAAAGGAGGGAAGGAAGGAAGGAAGGAAGGAAAGGAATGAAGAAGAGAAGGAAGGAAGAAGAGAAGGAAGGAAGAAGAGAAGGAAGGAAGGAAAGTAAAAGAAGGAAGGAGGGAAGGAAGGGAGGGAAGGGAGGAGGAAGGAATGAAGAAGAGAAGGAAGGAAGGAAGAAAAGGGAAGGAAGGAAGGAAGGAAAGTGAAGGAAGGAGGGAAGGAAGGAGGGAAGGAATGAAGAAGAGAAGGAAGGAAGGAAAGTAAAAGAAGGAACAAGGGAAGGGAGGAGGAAGGAATGAAGAAGAGAAGGAAGGGAGGGAAGGAGGAAAGGAATGAAGAAATGAAGAAGAGAAGGAAGGAAAGTAAAGGGAAGAAAGGGAAGGAAGGAAAGGGAGAAGGAAGGAAGGAAAGTAAAGAATGGGAGGGAGGGAAGGAAGGAATGAAGGAGAGAAGGAAGGAAAGGAAAGGAAGGAGAACAAAGGAAGATGGAAAGGAAAGAAGGAGGGAAGGAAAGGATGGAAAGGAAAGAAGGGGAGAAGGAGGGAAGGGGAGAAGGGGAGAAATGGCTTGCAAAGCCCCTTCCTCCCACCTCGTAGAAGACGCCCCCCGGTTCCCCTCCGATTAAAGGGGGCTGCTCCCCTTCCCCCTCGCAGAGCCCCCTTGGGGGGCCCGCCTCCCCCCCCCATGAAACTCACGAAGAAGAAGAACGGGGCTGGACTAGAGGACCTCCCAAGGTCCCCTATCCAGCTCTCTTCCCACGCCGGATGGATCCTAGGGCCTCTCTCCCCCCTCCCCTTTCCCGGCGCTCACCTGCCGCTTGGCTTTGTCCCCGTACTGGATCCGCAGCTGCAACCCCATTTCTGCCCTCAGGCAGACGGTGGCGCCCTGCCGGACAGTGTAATTGCCCACTGGCACGGCCGGCGGCTGGGTGGGCTGTGGCGGGGCAATGGTGGTGGGCTGGACGGCCGAGCTGGTGTGGTTGGCCGGGGCGAGCGTGTGGTGGCCGGTGGTGTGGTTCTGGGGGGCCGTGGTGGTGGTGGTGGTAGTAGGAGCCGCAGTGGTGGTGGTGGTGGTGTGCGGGTGGTGGGTGGTGGTGGTGGTGGTGGTAGGAGCCGCGGTGGTGGTGGTGGTGGTGGTAGGAGCCGCGGTGGTGGTGGTGGTGGTAGGAGCCGTGGTGGTGGTGGTGGTGGTGGTGGTGGTGGTGGTGTGCGGGTGGTGGGTGGTGGTGGTGCGGTTGGCCGTCGTGTGCCGGCGGTGGTGGTGGGTGGTGGTGTGCTTTTGGGGAGGGGTGGTGGGGCGCTTCGGGGTCTCAGTGAAGGAGGGCACCAGGGTGGCCGACTTGGTGGGTCGGGGGCAATTCCCGGAGGGGCAGTTCTCGGGATCTCCCGGTTCCGAAGCACGACCTGCATGAGGAACCAGTCGGTCATTACAGGTGGGGCGGCACCCGGAGGAGCCCATCTGGCTCCAGAGCTGCTTAAGGCTCCCCCCCACCTCTCTCTCTCTCTCTCTCTACCAACCTCAAGCCCCCTCCCCAATTCCTTCTCCCTTCGGCCTCCTACAGGCACACATCCCTTCTGACAGTTTGGGGTGTGTGTGTGTTGGGGGGGGGATAGAACAAGCCTGGATTCCCCCCACCCCATCCCTCCCTGCAAGCGCCCCCCCCCCCCCCCCCCCCCCGGGGGCCCCCCCCCCCCCTCTCCAGCCACCCCCCCGCACCCCCCCACCAACCTGCTGCCACCAGCAGGCACCAGCCGGCCATCCACAGGACGGTAGCCACGGAGAGCCTGGACATCCTCATCTTCCTGGCGGGGCTGGACGAAGAAGAGAAGAGGAAGAAGACGGAGGAGAAGAAGAAGAGGAAGGAAGTGACACTTGACAGAGCCTGAGTCAGTCGGGGGAGGAGGGAAGTAGAGGGAGGGGACGGGACGGGGGGGTGGGGGGGCTTCTCCCCTCTTGCAAAGCAATGGAAACCCCGGACGTGGGCTTGCGGCCATAGCGCCCCATGGCTGGACCGCGAGCCCACCTGGCGGAGAAGGCCACGCTTCCTGCCTGTCCCTCCCCCTCCCGTGGGCTCAAAGTGAGGGGGGGGGAAATCCCACCAGGGGCCACACACCCCCACCCACCCCGTTGTCCTCCCCACAGTATGAGGGAGCCCCTCAGAGGCCATCTAGTCCAGCCCCCTGCTCGACACCGAGCCCACCTGGCGGAGAAGGCCACGCTTCCTGCCTGTCCCTCCCCTTCCCTCCCCCTCCCGTGGGCTCAAAGTGAGGGGGGGGAATCCCGCCACGCCCCCACACACACCCCGTTGTCCTCCCCACAGTATGAGGGATCTCCAGCCCCCTGCTCGACACCGGACAAGGGCAGGGAACGTGGGATAGCGGGGTTGGAAGGGGCCTCGGAGGCCATCTAGTCCAACCCCCTGCTCAGCACCAGACAAGGGCACGGAACATGGAATAGCACATTTGGAAGGGGCCTTGGAGGCCATCTAGTCCAACCCCCGCTGCTTCAGCAGGAGAGTCCTTTTTGAAATATCAGCCTCTACCTAGAATTGAACTCAACAGTGTCCAAGCGGTCGCTGGCCACGGCCTGCCTGGCCTTCTCCGAAGCCTCCCCCCCCATACTGTCCCCCTGCCCACTGGGGGGGGGGGAAGGGGGCGATGGGTGGAGGGTGCCAGCGCCGTCCGTCCCTCTTAAAAGCTGTCCAGTTTCGGTGTAAGGGTTTCCCTGCTTCTAGTCTATTCCGGGGGGCTGGACTAGAAGACCTCCCCGGGTCTCTTCCAACTCTGTGATTCTGTAAGGGGGCAAAGGGGAGGTGGGCCGCCACAGTCCTGGGCGCCTGGAAGCCAGGAGGAGGAGGGGGGAGGAGGAGGAGGAGGAAGAGGAGGAAGAAATAGGGCTGTGGGGTCCTTGGCGCCTTCGACGCTTCTTCAGTGCTAGAAGGGAGTTGGAAGAAGAAGAAAGAAAAGGAAGAATGGAGAAGAAGAAGAAGAAGAAGAAGAAGAAGAAGAAGAAGAAGAAGAAG